TAAGAGTTTTTAAATCATTAATACTTAATATATTAATTTTTGCCACAGTAAACAATAGAACCTTTCTCACGATATATACATATACTTATTTTAAAAAACTTATTTTCTAAATTTAGAACCTGAAATTTCTATTTTTTGCACCCTGTCGAATAGTCTAGCATTTTTCTGATAGTCTCCCCCTTATGTTAGGAAAACAATTGTAATAACTATATAATTATGAGATTATTTAACTTATAATAATGTTGACTCAATCCATATGTTTATCAAATACCCTGTTTTCCACCAGTTTTGTAAAATATGTATGTTTGTATTTTCACATCATGTTGTTATATGTGACACATGTAACCTGATGATCAATAAAGGTATCTGTCTGTCTTATTTTAAATGAATTTGTCCCCCTTTAATATGAGTAAAACCATTCATCATGTTCGGGAAGATTTCAAAATAAGTAGATGAAAAGTGAACTGTGCATATTGTGACGGACGACATGAATGTGTAAGTTCATCTTGGTCTGCTCTGGTCGAATGTTTGTATCAGATGTCCGAGAGCCTTATTTCATTATAATAATTATTGAAAATATTGGGAAAACATTGAAATGCTGTTTCGCTACTTCTGTCTGTGACAGACATACAGTAAATAGAAATAGATATAAAACAAATTATTTGTGTGTGTTAACTTTTACATTGCGTTTTTCATTCGTACTTTCATTGCCAATCAAGCCAACTTGCAAGTATAATAAAATAGAGAAAAACAGAATCCTAAAAAAGTCCAACAATTGAAAATGTTGCAAGGTCGATTTGGTTGAGCCCGGTAATGGACGATCGTGGACAGTACAAGTTACCGTCAAAGCCTCCTAGCACCGGCTTAATTAGAATTGACATTTAAACACGAAAATGGTGAAGTTTTGAATTTAGAAACATCCGCAGATGTGTTCGTACGGCGGTCATCATGGAACTTTCAATGCCATTCCATGAACAGCGGCGCTTGGTCCCTAAGTAAGATAATGTATGTGCCCTAAAAGAGAAAACAATGGGCGTAACTAAATAGAATGGAATTTTTAGGTTATCAGAGGTTACGAAGTCATTTTCTACTATAACACTACAATCATTACTTCTTACCAAAGCTACTCTTACTTATATCATTACAAACTGGCATTTGTGTACGTATCCCCATAATTATATTGTTTTTATGCGTGTTTTAAAGAAAATTTAAAAATCACATCGGAAGGATGATGAAATTAAAATAAAAATGTTTAAGGCTTTTGTTACGTCTTAAAGACATTATAATCGATTAAAATGCACTTTTCCCCAAACTAATTATTTTCTAAAACATACGAGCGTATTTCAAAATTAACGAATTACATTCAACGAAACCTTCTTTAAAAAAGAAACATTTAGAACAGTATTGTGGTATAAAAGAAAAGGAAGATAATTAAGATAATTTATTTATCATGTTATGTTTAATTAGAAAGATGTTTCTGAATCAATCTTAACGACTTTGTGATACGATCATTTCTCCTTAAATGTTTAATTAATTACAGAATGATTTACGATATAATAATAAAAAGATGAAATAGTGTAGTTACAAAACAAAAAAAAGATAATATTTCTGGTTAAACTTCTTTTTAGCTCTTTCTTGGAAATTTAATAATTGTGGAATATTTCAATTGCAATGTAACATTCAAAAAGGTCAAGGGAATAATAATTGGAAAAAAATGACAAGAATTATATCCATAACCATTTCTGTGTTTCAAAACTTCTATACACGTGCATGCCATCATTTTAACTTTAACATGAAATTCGCTTATCCGTTTTTATGCATGTTTCAACTGGATATATAATTGTTATTACTTTCGGCAATTAATCAAAGTGAAATGAAATTACCAGTTATAAGCAGCTTAACCATTGTGCGATACGAACTACAAGGAGAACAAAGACGAACTATAAACTATTAGATATGAGATAAATTATTAACCGGTATAGTGAAGAAATATATATTAAAACTCCAGCAGGGGAGGAGTTATCATCGGACTCCTGATTAAAGACCAGCATTAATTCCACTTTAATCAGTGCATGAGACATCTAAGATCTTAATCTAGTTTGCACTCTAATTTCATAACTAGGGTTCTTTTGAAGTACCGTCGGTTTAAAGATGTCACTAAACAGACGTGTAATTGAAGTTCATAATAGCAGAAGTATAAAAAAATCAACTTTAACATCAATGACAACAATGATGAAGAATCAGAAACGCATTATTGTAATAATTTCAATCCCTTAACTTTAGTGTTCCGTATTATAATGTTTTTTTAATGTTCCGAAAGATTGGGAATCTAGATCTATAAGTGAATCACACACACTTGGACAGCATTGAGATGAATGTATTTATAATATATACTCAGATAAAATATACTCGTATATGTGTTAACCTTTATGTTTAATTAAGTGTAATTTTTTGTATCCCATACATTCAGTTTTTATGTTTCCATATAGTCCCAATAATCTGTTTTATGATAATCCTGCTCAATAGTTCTAGATTTACGTTTTCTTCTGCATCGGTAAATTGGCTATCCCGGTCTCCTTGAAGAAAAGGCCAAGTCAGTCTGCGCACCTTTGCAGTCTGACTGAGCTTTAAAATATTCTTATGATTGTATAGAACAGAAACGTAAACAGCATAATTTTTTAACAATTAAAGGGCAAAGAGGACAACAGTTAATGCAATCTAATTTTGTTCCGCCTCAACATTTGACTTATGTCTTTCTAGATTGACATTTCATTTTAATCGGTAACTAAATACTAAACTTAATCTACCGCAAACAATTTGTTGAGATATAGTAACTCTAAAAGAACTATCGATCGTCTGTAATTTTACTTCTATTTAATTACTTCACGCAATGTTATTCGTAGCATTTGATATTCAATTCAGACATGATTTGTCAGCCAAATGCTGCCTGGAATTAGCAACAAAATTTTGCCGATCAAAAGCGGCCACCTCCAATATGCATCAGTTATAAATGTTTAAAATCACATTTCAGTTAAACTCTAAATGAGAATGTATTTGTAATATATACTCAGATAAACTGTTCCGAAAAGAAGTGTGCATTATTGAAATATAAAAGTGATTCTTTAACAACCGATATATGAACTATTTAATAAAGTAAGAATTTATTCATATTTTGCTACAAATTATAATAAATAGTATTTTGTCAACTTTATAGGCGACACCGACTTTATTAATAGCGGTTTTGTCTCCAGTTTGAGCGAATTGTTTTATAATTATATATAATACACTCCTCTTTTTATTTAATACAATCTAAATAACATTACCAGTCTCTTATACAAATATTTGTTTTAAATCATTCAATAATCTGTGTTCATTATTGGGAATATTTAAATACCTAAAATCAGATTTCTTTCTCCAAGCCGTGGTCATAAAACCGAGAGTCTCATTTTTTTATTTCTATATCAACTATATATTGTTTTTATTTTCTTTAAATTATTCAGTTGCTATTAACTATGCACTGGCATAGTCACAATTCTTGTTAATTATTAGCACAGTGAAATATTTTAAAACAATTAACGAAAGATACAATGAATATTAAATTAACGGATATTTGGCTTGCTTTTTTTAATAAGCTTTTCAAAACTATTTTCCATATCAAGCAGTTTACGCTGTACGTTCTGTTCATAAATGAATCTGTGTTGCTATTAAATTTCCGCCTTTGGTTATAGAGACTTAATCTGTTTTCAATCGTTTTATATGATACTCCAGCGAAATAAGAAGGCGGTAAAGACTGGTATAATAACGAATTTCTGATTAAATATAACTGTTAAAGTTATATATGATTTGGAAAAAACAAATGGCTATGATCTGGTCACTTTTACCTTTTAAGCCCTACATTATACAAATCTAAATACTTTGACTGAATCTCAACTATAATTTCCGAACGGAAATAAAACTTTACCGAAACATTGTTTTCAGATGTGGAAACACAAGTTATACAAATGCACGAAAATCGTGACAGATTAATGGTAAGGGTAGAAACGTATTCTGAAAGAGCCAAGAGACACAAAAATAAAAATAGAAAAAAAGAAATCCAAATTAAACACAAAAACGGCATAATGGCAAAAGAAGGTGTTATAGGCTGCGTGTGATTAAGCCTGTTCGTAGACAGTTGTTGGTAAATGAAAGCTACCGTCTACGCCCTATAGCACCGGTTTAAGCATAATTTGATATCTAAACATGCAAAGATATTATACAAGTATGGACTTTTTAGCTGGTGAATATGATGTGATTTGTACTGAAAAATAATATTGACCGAGGCGAAAGCCATCTAATATTCACCATCTAAAAAGTACATATCTGTTTTATTATATAATTTATAAATAGCTTATGGTTTATTAAATCTGCCATTGCCTACGACGGAAATCAACATTTTTCAGCTTGTCTATTTTTTTCCATGAATTGGCCCTGTCTTTTAAATGAGCGCATTAGCAAGCTTATTCTTAGTGTTCTTTAAAATGTAAAGACGGCAACTAAAATAGACTAATTTGACTCTTATTTAAGAGTCATCCAACATTTTTTTTCAGAATAATATATAACAACAAACTTGGCGTGACGTCATGTCATAGTCTCGCGTCTTTCAGGGAATTTCCAGAAAATCTATATTTAGAAGAAAAACCTGTGAATATAGTACTCTGAAAATCTATTTTTAGGAAAAACAACAGTGACTATATTCTGATATTTACCTGCTATTTTTTACAAAAAGTTGCTTGTTAGCCAATCAGGGAAAGGCATTTCAAAGCTATTTATAGGTTATATAAAAATAAAATATATTGAATTAAAACATCATTAAATGTTTCCATATCGCAATTTAAGTTATATGAAAACCTTTGGGAAAGTGTAGGTTTTTCTCCATATTACTAAACAATATAAAATCTGTTACGGGTAGATTAAAACGTGAATAAAACTATACATGTACATGTCTTGATGACTCATTTCAGTCTGACTTTACCTCATGATGAAGAAAATCAACCATCAATGGATTCAGAGCTTTTCTTTCTGTACCTGCTACCTCCGTAAGTACAATCTACATTCAATATTTGACAGAATTTCTTAAACTCTGAAGTAAGTTAATCCATCAAAAGAATTGCTATTAAGAAATATAATATTATTGCAATAATAGACCAGGATTTATCAAGTCTGTGTACGAGTTATTATGGATGTTGCAGCACAGTCTTTTCAATATAAAGATCTGCGTATAAGATATATGCATTGTCGACGAGTTTCAGTGTACGGTTATTCAGAAAGTTAACACCCTCTTTTAATATTTGTCGCAAAATATTTTAGTCATGAGTAACATTATAATATGTATTTTCCTTTATTTCATTTCTAAGTCTGGTTATCACCGAAAATTAATTCATGACTTTACATTTCTATAATTGTGTGTTATTCCAGGATCATTTTAGAATCAGCTTATAGTTTACATGATCGAACGTTCTACGACAACGTTGGAACCGTCATGATTTACGCCGTGTTAGTGAGTAATACCACAATACCTAGATTTTCAAATCCATTAATCTTTAAGTATTGTAATGTATTGACATATTCTTTAGTGAAATAAGATTTATATAAAATTATTAAATCTGTGCATAAGTTTAAAGATATTTATTTCCAATACATATATCCATATTCATTACAAATGAAACATTTTAATATAATTCAAGAAAAGGATTAGAACGGAAGACTAAGTCGTATGAAATTTGTCTCTTTTTTAGTGTATTGTTATAATGTGTCGAGTTTTGTGCTACATTATGTATCAAAGAGTATGACAAATCAGGGATATAAATATTTTGGGGGGAAAATTGCGGAAATGTGTTAAAATTAAGAATTTATAAAGCAATCTAAACTGTCTGAAAAGAACTGTGTATATGTGCATTAGAAGAACGTTACATTACTTTAAAACTGTGACTAAACTGTGTCACACAGTTTTAAACTGGCACTGCGTTTTCCCTTGTCTAATAGTACCGCCTCCGTGGTCGAGGGATTAGAGTCGATGACTTCTAATCCAATTACCTCTCTGGCGTTGGTTCGATCCCCGGGAGATGCTTTCAAAATTGGTAGTTTAGCACGGATGAAGGTAGTCTAGTACTGGTGTAACTCTCCAGGAATATGACTGAAATACTGTTGGGAAAAGGTGTAAAATGAAACAAACAAACAAACCATTGTCTAATACACAGTACAATATGTTACGAAAATCATAGACTTTCATAAATCTCCGACATGTTTCTGAATATTAATAAACGGCTTTATTATTAACGTATTATATAAAATTTCTGTTTAAACTTAAATTGAGAGATTTTTGAAAAATTTGTTAACTTAATATATTCCCTGAAATAAATTGCTATTCAAACAAAGATTAAGAACTTCTTTTTCCTTTTCAACGATATCGTAAGTACAATTTCGGTGTCATGGTTGCAACGAATAAATTGTAAGATATATAGCAAAGAGTTAATAAATGTTATATAATGTCTGAGACATGACATGAGGTCTTCTGATCATACGTATTGTTTTCAAAAGATGATATTTTGTTATCATAAGTGTCTGAGATAATCAAATATTTTATTGTTTCAGGGAACCGTGTTGAATTGTTTCCTAATTGGTAAGAATTGATTTCGTCATTTTTCATACACCATACTGCACTTTGCTTATTATTTGTAATGGAATCAGTAGTTTATTATACTTTCTTGAACCTAGACAAAATAAACCTTTTTATAAAATGATGAATATATTGCCAAACGTTCTATCAGTTTCTGTGGAAGAAAATAGTAAAACAATAATCATGGTGAATGTTCAGTTATTTTCATAAAACTATTAACCAACATAAGTCATTTTGAAATAAATACTCTACCTGTAAATATGTATATTATGAGACCATAAGTAAGCCTGTTGTGAGACTATAAAACAAGCTTTTTGCCTAAAAGCAGAAAATAAGATTATGATATCATATAAATTAAAACAAAAATATTTTTCTTTTTATCTTTAATCTTCTTTCAAAGTGTTTGGCTTGTTTTTGTTTTGAATGCTCACAAAGTTAGTATAAAGCAGGTTATTGCCGAGCATATAAAGCTGTTTAACTGATTCAAAAATAACACCATATTTCATAAACGTGCCAACATCATGCTTATACGTGTTGCAATTGTATGAAACAAGAATTATAGTTATTGAAAGCGTAGAACGCTGTTGAACTCCTTAGAAAATAGTATCATTCACTGAAACGTTCAATTATCGCAAAGTGTTTCTCACAGACTCTGCATTTATCAAGTTATTAACGTCATATTATAGGTTCCACGTCTGTGATCTTCTTAACAGTTTGAGTTTTATAACATAATAACATTGCGTTCATATAATTCCTCAAGGCAAGAAAGTTATTTGAATACCAGTGTATAATATATGAGAGAAAAGAACAATGTTAGATATCTATTAACGACATGTGATACCTATGCATTTAATATTGGCCGTCAATAGTCAATATATTACCTTTTTTAAACTAGCATTAGAAGCTGTACTTGTATAATGATTAAATTAATGAGGTCTGATATGGGATAGGAAATTAAATTCTTTGTCCTTAGACACTTTCTGTCTGCCAATATATAGCACAGTGTCAATATTTTATTGAAACGGATGATAAATCTCATAATTTGTTAGTTTGTAAAACAGCCATAATATCAAATGCAGTTTTTTCATACTTGTCGGTTTCTACAAATATTTAATAGCATAAACACATAACATATTCGGATTTTTTTTACTAACAAAATATTTATCAGAGAAGGCCTTTAGATTTTGTGGCACCCGAGGTTAGCCAAACTCATTTTTTTCTGTTTTGGTGCCATATGTGGTGGTTTGCCTTAAAACAAAACAAACAAAGTCCTAAAGAGTTCAATCTTTTATCATTTTCATTGATTGATCTTATTAATAAGTACCTTAAATAGTTTTGCCCGGCTCCATTACCATAACTGTGTTCCTTCATAGCCTGCCCGTTAGCATTCTAAGACAAAAGTTTTTTGTTCCCATTTCAAATCTAGGAACTATGATGTAAGAAACGTAATACATTGAATTTATTATTATAGGCCCATCTCTGTACGGGATATACAAGATTGGTTGGATGGGAAATACAAGTTTTGAAATAAACTTTGTACAAACACTGGTGTTTAGTGCAGTTATAGTTGCAGTTGATCCGGTTGCGGTAGGTATTAGAACTTTACAACACAATTTTGCACTTTAAACTGTATTGTATTTTGCAAATTTTAATTATATTTGATATATCAGCTAGTTTGTTCGTTGATCGATGGATATTATCAATATAGTATTATTACCACACTCTGTAGTTAATAAAACGAGACAGATTTGTGTTCTTTCAAACGCAGGATATATTCAGCTACTGTGTAAAAACATAACTCATGATACGTGCAGGGTATTCGTTTTGTAGTACAACATTCCATGACGAAAAATAAAAGTACAATGCAATGGAATGGAATGTGCAAAAAAATAATGTTAGGTGATGTAAAGTAAAGAGAGATTAATTGTCTTTGCGAATGTTTAAGTACTTTGCGTAACTATAGTCTTTGCGTAACTATACTTTATCTTCACAGGTTTTGGCGATATTCCAGGAAATTGGTGTGAATAATACCCTTTACTTCCTTGTATTTGGGGAATCTTTATTCAATGGTAAAGTATTGTGATTATTTAATAATCTATAAATGAAATTTAATTGATGTGAACCAGGAAGTCTATACTGTATACTTTATAACATCACTGTTTCATCAATTCCAGTGATGATATTCTTGTTATTGCTTGCGGTCATATGATTTATACCTCATTTATCTCCATGAAAGTAATGCAGGCAAGGCAAATTGTTTGTGAACTATCCATTGATGTTTTACCTTCAGTATAAAAACTTATTTATAAAGACAGATACCTTCTAGAAAGAAAAGGTTTTCATTCTATTATGAGCTTCTGTTTTGGGCTGTTTCGTTTTTGAACCAGTCAATCAACTCTACAGGCAATACAACTGTGTACATGACTGTCTGCGAATGATAACAATCTGGCTCTGCTTTTCTTATATATCTCTTACATTTACCAATACTAAATTTGATGTTCGCGTGAGATTGTAAATGAGACTCCCACAAATGTCAAAGTAAAAATATATAAGATTGGCAAAATATCAAGTAACACAGTTGTACAACAATACATACATGTAGTAAATAATAACAGCAAAAGAATATTCCAAATAATAAAAATTGAACGAAGCTTTTGAATTGATGTTAGCCTGTATGTTTAAGTTGTTGTTGTTGTTGTTGTTTAATTACTCTTTTCACACTGTATGTGTTGTATATTTTATAACGTTATACTTCAAACATTGTCAAACATTATCTTTTGAGTTTCTTAACGTGAAAGCTTTTCATTCTTTAAATTAAAGAAGATATAGAAGAATTGCAAGAATTCACAATCGACTCAAAAATCGTTGAAATTTATAAATATATTAACACTTAAACTTTGTTGTATGTTAATTTTTCCTCTTCTGTCTTCAATTTCAAACTTTGTTTAGAACTTGAACTAGTACATTTGAACAAGTTTGTTGTTATAGAAACTATATTTACTATTAAGTAAATTATTTCGTTTATTTAGATGCTGTCACCGTGGTGCTATATAATATGATGAAGACGTTAAATCTAATGGACGAAATAACATTTGATCAGGTAACCACGGCAACACCTCTGATAATTTCATACTGACACACTAAGAGGAAATTTTAAAGCACTACTTCATTGTAAGTAGAGACCCTAAACCACAGGGGCATTTATTGCTTCGACACTGAGACCAGTAAATCTCTATAAAACTTCCTGTGGCATAGGTGCGATCTGGTGATAAAGTCTTAATGAATAGCGGATAATGATATGTGTTTCACCTTTCATGGCGTGTGAACGACTTACCATATATACTTGACAGTGCCATGAGGAGATGAAAGTCAAAAAGTAGCAAATATAAAAATTACAAAGAAAAATGATAAAAATGAATATAAATAATATTCTATGAATAATATTATGACAACAATATAAAATTTCAATACAGAATACGAATATAGAAATATTATTTTATTTGATGTTTTACAGGTATTGATAGGTGTTTTACAGTTTTTTGTTGTCAGTATAGGCGGATTAATTGTCGGTGTTATATGGGGAGCTATCACCGCTATACTCACCAAATTTACAGAGCATTGCAGAGGTTCGTGTTTTATTTGTATAATTTAAGCATAACACTCAAAAATGCAGCTTATACAAGTAATTGTTTCAATTCACCTAAAGTTTTAAGGTATTGTTCTAGGTAGCCTTTGTACATATAACATAACAATTTAAAGTTCTCAAAATGTCAGCTTATTTCCACGTGCTGAGCTCAATAGATTGAGCATCGGATAAGTTATCCAGGAGCGTCGGACGAGGCAAAATTTCTTCTTTATAATTCGTTTACTATCACCGCTGATTGTCAGAAAACATGTCGGGGTAGCAGTCGGTGTCTTGTTGCAAAATTTGTATTACTGGTCAGAAAACCCGGTTAAAAGGACCGTCAATAAATGCGTTTATATTGAATAAAAACATAGAAAACAATTCTTGAGGATGATGCTTTTATTGTATGGTTTGTCCAAGGTTTCATGTTTGCTAAGTTGATAGACTTATCAAGTCAAGTCAAATCAATATTATAGTTATAACAATGTAACATTATTGTAGTTTTCAATAAAAGAGTACAGTGTTATAATATTATTAATATAATTAACACAATTAAGATACATGTAGTTCCTTATAGCATCTGGTATTTATTTTACTCCTTTTAGTGTAAGTTCAAAATTAAGCCCAGACATATAAGACAACCCTAGTAGCAAAATAATCCTTCAACAATTTGTGTAATTGAACTATTGATTAATTAGAAAACGAGATGATCTCATTTTTATTTTTTAGTTTTGTATTTAGATAAGCAGCTTGAATAATGATATTGAATAGTTATTTATATCTTTAAAATTTTGATATAACGATGGTTTTGAACAGGGGTGTACAAGGTTCAGTTTTATAACCTAATGTTTTATTACAATTTCAGTTGTAGAACCATTAGCAGTTTTTGTCCTAGCCTACATATCTTACCTTATGGCGGAGATGTTCCATTTTTCTGGAATTATCAGGTTTGTATACTGTTCTTGATATGTCTTAATCAATTATTTGCTGCGATGCATCTATATAAGGTGATGTATTGTGATTTAACATGTTAAATATCAGAGGTTATTTTAATGTTATCAAGGAAGGATCATTGATTAAAGTATTTGATCGTTCAGCACGACATTATTGTTGTGTATACATATTAGATGGTATTTTTAGTTTCTTGTATTTGGCCTTTTTCAATTTGGGTGGTTCCAGAATTGCTTAATCACCCTTAATATGTTGCCTGCTTTTTAAATTTGTCTTTTGACGTCTTGTCTGTGATATGCAGGCTTCATAACCTCAGATCCCCTTTCAAAATTCCATTTTATTCAGTTCCGCCCATTGTTTTCTCGTTTAGGGCACACGCATTCTTTTACTTGGGGACCATACGCCGCTTTTCATGGAATGACACTACTGTGTCACATTGAAGGTTCCATGATAACCGCCGTATGAACACATCTGCGGATGTTTCTAAATTCAAAATTCACTATTTTTGTGTTTAAATGTTGAATTCTGCTTAAGCCGGTGCTAGGGGGCGTGGACGGTAACTTGCACTTTCCAGTACCGTCCATGAACAGGCTCAATCAAACCGAGCCTGCAACATTTTACAATTTTGCCGTGTTGGGCTTTCTTTAGGGATTCTGTTTTTCACTATTTCTTAGTATGTAGTAAGTCAGAGCTATTCTGTGTCAACATATAGTATTGACGTAATGGAGAATGTAACTAAAGGCATTTTGTTTTCAATGAAATGAACGCTAGGAAGGTACATGTATAATGAATAGTTTGAAGCCCTGGCAGCGTTTAAAACAAGTGAAACTCACCCGTAGAAAAAGCACAGCTCTGTAATTTTCCTTATATTATTATTTATTTAATATATCTTTCGTAATTTTCGTAATTGCATATTGAACATCTGAAAAAGCAAAGGAATAATTTCTCTGTAATAATAAGCTTAAAATATATAAGTTTACGCCAATACACAATCATAAAGCGACTACATGAGTACATTGTATGGAATACGGAAAACTAGATATCGATTTAAAATCATCATATCATTAAAAAAACAAAATCATAAAAACTAACTGGTAAAAAGTAAACATATCTTACATGTTAACCAATATTTTCATGTTTTCAGCATTATAGGTTGTGGTCTTACTCAAGCGCAATATGCATTCCATAACATATCCAGAAAATCTCACACAACTGTAAAATACTTCAGCAAAATGATGAGGTGAGACCTTATTAAACATTTATTATTATATTAGTTTGTAGGCTTTGTAAACTCGATTATTCATTTAAAGGCACATGATGCCTCAGCAACGAATAAATGTTATCTTATTTAGAAAGGGCCAACGTGCGTTTTAAAATATGTTATAGATGTTTGTTACTTGAAGTCGATAGCGCTGAATGTGACACTAAATTCTTTATGTCAGTGTAAACAAACACAAAATTCACTTAGTAATACATGTATATACAAATACTAAATCACTATAACTGAAATATTTGTAGAAATCAGCAATACGAAAGAAAACTATGATTCAGGTGATTGGCCTTTGAAAACTATAACAGAACACCAAAAACAAAGCTTCTCATTAATAATAACGAAAACACTTTAAGGGCATGATGGAATTGTTAAGATACGAATGTGTTAATTTGATTAGTTTTCTCTACAAATTACTTATTTTATTGTTGAAGCATTGTACATGTTTAAAATGTGTACCAATTTACTATTGCAATTTATTTTAACAATAACATTGAATAATGAATTGAAATGAAAACGTTACTATTGACATGAATACTTGTTGCGGAGATAATGTGTTAATAACACAGAAATTAAGTTCCATGAGCAATGAAATCGTTAAATGTATCTTCATAGATGTTCAAACAACTAGATATGGTATTTAAAAAGATTTTTTAAAATCATGGCACATGTGTGATATGAAAATAATTATTTTCTTTCTGCGCATGTTGCATTTATTAGAAGATATCTTTGAGATCGTTGTAATTGCAATAACACAATAACATCTAAGATAAGGCATTATATATGTAAGATGTAAAAGTACGACTTGCATTAATGTGAGTTCTGATCTCGTGCAATTTTCGTATGTGGTATGTTTCATTACAAAATAGAAAGAAAAGTGTTACAAATGTAATACTCGTTTTAATTCCCCATGGCATACGTGTCCTCAGATGAATTTGTATCAACTTCAGGTTACTGATTTGAACCCACATGCTTTTGAAAGGCAAACAAGATTGCAAAACATTAATTTCTTTCAGTTTTTTTAAATTATACTACAATTTTACTTGCAAACATTTTGTTTCTAAAATAATGCAAACATCCAAGCTGAATAATCAAGCAAACCGCACCCCTTGAGATTTGTGTTGATTTTATTAAAATATAATTACTGTTTTAATGTAAAAGTTCTTGTCATTCTTAAATCAAATTACTTGTGCTTGTCCTAGTTATATCACATCTAGAAAATTGCATTTTGTAAAGAAAGGACTCTGCTTATTATGTTTATTATTGACGTACAAGTATCTTTTTCAGAACAGTTTATATCTTAAATATATGTTATTATTGTAACGTATCGTTCAGCGCAATTGTATTGATGTTTACCTTAATACTCAAAACTTCACCTGTGGAGTCGAAATACGTATACTGTAAAATTCTTAGACTATGAGTATATGTCTCTTAAATCTGAAAGAGTTATTTAACTCATTTGGATGCATGCTGTTTAAATTTTAGACTAATTTAATTATATAAATCCAATTGTGAGGTAACAGAAATGCAGCCACCGTTTAACTCTCTGTGATAATAAGAGGCAACTAAATAGGTTCAAATGAGTCTATGCATCTTTTAACTCCAGCTGTAGATGTGGTTTTGACCCCTGTTGTTGCTCTAAGTCTGCAACACTTGAGGTGAGCCAACATCAACTTTTCTATTTTTGGTGCATTATAACTTAAAATGTGATAATGCGCCGCAAAACCAAACATTAACATCGTCGTAAAACCAACAAAACAAACAAACTTATGTTTAAGAACATCATAGAAGTATCATTAAATCTATATTTCCAGTTCAACATGCGACTGCGTTATATTTCTATTCCTTGGAATATCACTGTTCAAGAAAGATGTGTTAACACCGGAACATTGGAACATTGGATTTATAGGATGGACAGTTTTATTTTGCCTTCTGTATAGATTCTTGGGTACGTTATATATGAGTAAATGTATTTTATTTTATACCTGACTTTAATATATGCCTGTTAAGAAAATAAAATATATGATTAAGTTATTCAAATTGCTGAAGGGATATATGAAGAAAGCCTTAAGTAAAACAAATATGATCAATATGACCCTAAACGCTAACTGAATGTTAATTATTTTATTTGCCAGCAAGGCTATGTTCTACTAAATATCCCGTCAGTAATTTGTAGAAAGAATTTATCATATTGCAAACTGTAATATAAGAAAAAAACAGCACTTTTAAAACTTTTTCAACGAAGTCCAGGGAAAAAAGGCGCACGTAAAGAAGATGATGCTATGCGTTCAACGTTACGCGAAAGCTGCACAACAAAAATTAGTTCAGGTATATGTAATCATAGTGGTGTAAGTTGAATTATTGTTTGAAATAATAACATTTAGATCGGAAAAATGCCAAAAATGACAAAAAGCAAAAATAAATTTATGCACACACGTAGGTAACCGTCTACAATGTAGAAATACAACGTCATTTGTGCGCGCTTCCGTTTTTTTATGTTATATACGGCATCCGACAAAAGCTGTCCTCTATGACGTGCACTCGGTTGTAGTTTTTTTTTTATATTTATCTTTTGTCGGCTTTAATGTCATATTAAGACTCAACGATTCAGATATTAACTCAATTTAGATAACTGATAGACTTATTCAACCTAACTCGAACATAATGTTGATGTTTTTTCAGTGGTTTTTGCATTGACATTTGTTTTCAATAGAGGCAATAGAATGAGAAAGATTGATCTTGAGGAGCAGTTTATCATGGTAAGATTTAAAAGAAAACAATAAGCATACATAAACACAATAGTGTCATTTTATCCTGTTCCTGTTTGAAGCTAAAATGTTAATCAAAGTATATTATCATTGAATCAAATATGTATCAAATTCTTCTATTGTAGCAAACCGTCACTGTGAACGGTAGTGATGAGACCTCTGTTGACCATTATGCACTAATCGGCTCCTGGATAGAAACAACGACCTTTTGCAAGCTAGCTGGCTAGCATAAACAAATCGAAATCAAAAGTCCCTTGCGAGATTCGACTCCACAATCGACAAATAGTCTGAATTAGACCTTATATAATTTATTTAATGATCATTTGTGCATGCTCAAGTTCTGTTCTTCTTAGGACGCGTAAAGATACCTTTAAATGTATGAATGAACAATATAGTATACATGTCACGCTGTACTTAACATTTCTATAAAAGCTCTTGAACCGTTCTCAATATGTCATTTAATATTGTTTTAGGCATATGGTGGATTGCGGGGTGCTGTAGCGTTTTCACTTGTAGGTGTCTTGCATAAGGACAATCTGCCAAAGGGCATATTTCTTACAACCACAATAGTTGTTATATTTTTCACAGTCTTTGTTCAGGTATAACATATTAATTTATTCCTTAATAGATTGAACATTTTTCATTCTATGCCGCTTAACTGAGTTAAATATGTACGTTTCTTAATATATTTTGGAAACTTAATTGTATTTAAGCCCGAGATTATGAATTGCAGTTTCGTCACTTACACTGTCTGTCTGTATTTTTGCACTGTCTGTTCTGTATTTGGAAAGTGTTAAAGAGATAAATTTTATTATTGCAACAGAAATATTAATTAAATATATAATAAATTCTGAGGTTTTAAACAAGAGGAATAATGCTAAATTATAATAGAATTATCTCAAATATCATAACTTATACAGGGTGGTACAATTAAACCTCTTGTGAAACTTCTACGAGTAAAAATGGAAGACTCACAAAAGCTACAGCTTTATGAAGAAATATCAAGTCACGTGACTGATCACGTGATGGCAGGAATAGAGGAAATAACAGGACAGAGGGGAGAACATTATATCAGGGTAACAATTCTCTTTCTTTTTGTTCGTTTAAGGTTTCCAAAGATTTATTGTATATGATGCTGTAGAGTATCAAACCTCCCCCCGCCTTCACCCCATATCTCACTCTTCTCCTTATTAAAAAAAATCCAGCTTGTTATATCTGGACCACGGATTTGCCTAAGTCACTCTCCTTTCTTTTTTTCCTTTTTAAACGAATATAAAAAGATTTACCCGAAAAAAAGATGAACGAGGTGTTACAAGAAGAACCATGTCATGTCTTGATCGCCATTAAAATTGACGAACAAGCATAATTATATACACATTTGCAGTAGTCTATCACGTATAATCTTTTTTGTTAATAATCATGAAGAAACTCGAAATAAGTCACTATTATAATTATGATACATATATATTAAATTTGAATATTATCAAAAAGAACAAGAATATTCTATATATTTTTCTATTGTCGTATAGGAGATGTTAGAATACTATAATTCCAAGTACCTGAAGTATTGGTTACAACGAAATCCGGTGAGCCAAGATGAAAAGATAATGCAGTATTTTGAAAAGCTGGCGTTAGAGTAAGTGTGATAAATCTTAACTATCCATGAAAAAACGAATGCCAAAATGTATGTTTTGTATTCTATTGTAGCCGAGTACAGCTTAAATTTACAAAAATTTTAATTTAGTAAGGTTACTTATTATTTGTTGTACGTAACCTGCTAGCTTTAGTACAATTGCCCGTTTAAATACTAACAAGACCGGCATTCTAGTTTATCATACTTTAACTTATACTATGTCGTAATATTAAGGTTTATTATGGTAGTCATATATAACGTTAAATTACATTACACATTGTCCTTATGATTCATGCCATTTCAAATGTAAGCCGTTTAGCTTTAAACACCTGAAAATCTGGTAAGCATACATACGCGTGTGTTTGTTAATCATTATTAATTAATTGATTATCATAGCTTAAACGTTACTATAACCTATAACTTATGAAAAATTTCATCATTTTAACTTATACTCTTCACATTACTTTAGAATCACTATATTAATACGTTTGGCTATAAACTGAATCCGTAGTTATTCAACTTTTTGCAATCTGTTTGAAATGTAATATCTCAACAATTGTTGTGCATATTTTGTTCATATTTATAAAAAATTGTTTTCAATAATGTGTATGTCAAGTGAATCATGAAACTGGTATCTATGTCAATGTTTGACAATTGTAGGCAGCATTTTGAGCAGCTTGCAGGATGCAAGATGATAATAGAAAAATATGGGAGTGAAACTGACCTCACGGAGGATATAGAGTAAGTTTGACGTCTCATCACTTGATTTGAAAATTTAGGTTAATATGCTCAAATAGCACATTTGTTTTCTCGAAGTTCAAGTATTGTCTTTCACTGATGTTAAAATTATTCATGTTACATTAATGATTGTTAAATTACTAGTTTTATTTGTAATGGGAGCATTAACCATGGAACAATAAAATGCGCACAATAAAATAAGGATTGTTTGCAATTTCTGAAATACAACAGGGTATCTTAATATGACCAATTCTGTTTACCGAAATATAATATAATTCTGTATCATTTTTTTCTGAAAACAAAGGACTTTTAATCAATATATTTTATTCCCAAGTTAAGTACTAGTATCTGCCTTCACGAGAAATTATACAATTACAATTCTTCAATTTAAATCCTTGTTCACGTGATATTTTGGTTTAACAGACTAGAAGAAGAAGAAGAACGAGAAAAGGAAAGTGAGACAGGCTCTATTGCAGATGATATATCAATAAACATCGGATCAATACAATCAAGTTGTGAAGACATCGAGTCTGAACTCGACGACGAATTGATAAGGAGACAGGGTGAGTGAAATTCTTTTCGACATACAATTACCTTCTTTCAATTCTGACCCACGCTTTTATCTTCTTCAAAATCGTAATTGTAGCCCGCAAATTATTTATGAATCTAGGTAGAAGCTTTGTTTCTTTGATCATTTTCAACTAAAGCTTGAAGCAAGTTAAGTATGATTACTGCTACTTATTAAGCCAATAAATATGCGAATATTTTTCCGGCCTTTGCATAATGAAACAAACTACATGTACATTCTTATACATAAAATCTATTATCGTTATACATGTTCATTAAATCTGTTAGGATTTTCTGTTCAAAGTAAACTAAAAAGAAATCTTATCCGAATATTGTTATAACGGACTGAAAACATTATTGCCTAGGTTACAAAAATAAAAACTTAATTTAAAACATTTGATCTACGACGAACATACCAACATTTTTCCATGCATTTGTATAATTACTATCAGTCTACATTTTTATGCTGCAATGCCATTATTTTAAATATTATTATAAATTGTAGCCATTACACGACGCAGACGAGCTATTCTGCCAGTTCCTTTAACAAAAGATCTAGAGTCGAGACTAAACGATAATCCAACTGCTCAAGATATCCGTAAGATCATGTTGCCAGTGCGGCAAAAGGTAATTAAAAGTAAACTTAGATGTCTTGTTGCAATTCCAACTTCTATTTTTATACATTTTACTTCAGTTATAAAAAATGAACATGGATTTTGTTATGCCTTTCGTTAAGTTGTCTCATACATGTATAATGTAACGTATTTTTCTTGAAATTTCAGTTAAACTACAGAAAACTTGACATTAATTTGACACACGATGATAGTGAAAATGATTTGTTAAGATATTTACAAAGTAAACAGATGAAGACTAGGCGTGTATCACAGGCTCTTTGGAACCAAGCCCCTAGTGCAACACCTGAAATTCCAGAAGCTGGAAGAGCACGTAGAAAAAGCGTGGCACCAGTTGCTGTTAATAACTACCGCCGTCGACTAAGTCTAGCAGTTCCAGATCCATTTAGTGAGGGAGCAAGGAGACGCGGAAAAAGTACGGGTAACGCTCTAAAGGGATTGGATTCGCCAGCGAGACGGCGGCTTAGATTTAAGAGAGGAGCACATTCACTAGCATCGGATGATTTAAGTGATTCCCAAAACTTATTTCCTCTAACTGAAAGTATTAGAGAGGATGATGAACTCAATAGTGAATGTGACAAAATGTCTGAATCTGAACATAACAAAACTGATGATAAATCAACCACTAAAGAAGATACATCTAAAGGTGCTTTACAAAGTGTCATTAATAGTAAAAGTAAGCATGGCTCATTAAAACGTTCTAAAACCGAGGATGCAAAGGGTTCACCAAGTGCCGGCGTAAGAAAAGGCGGTTCATTCAAAGGACAGGCAAGTAAACCGACCCAAATGAAGGGTTTCAGAAGTCCAACACAAGGGATGAAACATGGTGATAGAGGAATCAAATTTGTTTCACCAAAGCATAGTCCAAGTTTGGCTAAACGTAAACCATTAGTAATGTCACATTCGGTTTCTGCCGAAACTAGTGAACACAAACAGGACCCGTCCCCTAGGTCAAGCAGCATGCGTAAAAATTTGTCCTATAGTAAAGCAATGTCTGAAGCCAAAGATGAAAATATATAAAAAGTGAAATTGCTAAATTACGAAAACATTGATTATGTAATACGACTGTAATACGACTCAAAATTTTCATTATTTGACAAATTCCCACTATGTTTTGCGTCTTTTAAATTTTTATGTTAACAAATTGTAGTTTATTCTGAGAAAATACACGCAATAATAATTATAAATTTTATTTTATGTACATTTTTAACACGAAAATATATAAACTGCATTTTGGGCTGCATATTTACCAATTTAGTTCATAGTATATACTAACATTACAAATAACATTTATTCGTTTGTCAATGCTATAGAATACACAAATTTGGCTTTAATTTGTAACATTTAACATTATATGCCTTTATGCTAACGTTTCATTTTTTTTATATTTCAGAATAATAGCCTGCATGAATCACAAAAGAGTGCCAAATCAGATGATACTGATGATATATTGTCAGTTCGGCTGTAGTCCCTTGCTAGAAACATATCATCGCTTCTGCTAAGATACCCCTGCTTTCCCCCTTACCTAACCAGTCATGCGCAGGATGTCATTTAAATATATTGCGTTACATCGCGGCGTCTACAAGATCAAGATGTTAAGAGCATGAGCGTCAGGGATCTTGCTTGCGTGAACAAGGTGTATGTTGTTTTCTTAGGGAATATATATATATGATTTTGTAGTAACAGCAAAACTTCTCACTGAGACTATTCTTTTCTTTATAATTTATTGATTAAAGCAAGTGTTTTGCCATATAAGTACTAGTTATTCTGTATGTTTAGCAGTATACAAGCTTTGCAATGACTGCAATGTAAATTCAATCTTGCCCATTTTGCATCTTAATCAGGTACCTTCACATGTAGACTTATTCAATGACATCATTAGAAATAAAGAACAAAAATGTTGAAAATTCTATGTAAATTGTAAAGTTTAAAGATTAATTATTTGTTTTAGAAAAGACGAAGTTTCATTCACTGTAAATTATAAGAAAAAGGCTTTCTCAAACATATTCCGTTTGATCGAAGAACAAAATTGATTATTAATATATTGAGCTTTTTCAAATATATATGTATTTGTGTATTATGCTCCAATTTGATATTTGAAATATTGATAAATGCTATACAGTCTCTTTTTAAAAATACTTATATAAAGTACACGCATAGAAGTCACGTTTAAAATTCTGCACACTCTTGGTAAAGGCATAGTGTCATTTTACAAAAATACTTAAGAAAAGGCCACATTTCATTTCATTAACCTGACCAGTAATAAAGAATGTAGTTTCTCAAAGTTAATATTTGCAATACGCAATACAAGAATTGTACAGTTTATCTGTAAGGTGACAACCGAAAGATAAGCAATGTGTTCCCAAAGAAGTTCTTAATTTATTCATGTTTAATCTTCTTCAGATTTCGGTTTAGGTTTGTTTTACCAAATAAAAGAGTAAAAAATAGTATTTTCATCATTAGGAGTGATGTCTAAAAACAAACAATAACTTTTTAATATTCGGTGTTTTACGTGATAAAGTATACAATAAATATAATGTATATTTTTGTATTTGAAAAATGGAATTCGATTACTTACTAACTCCTTCCATTTTGTACAAATGTATTAACATCTGCAAGTGTGTTTGAAATTTAGTACACTTTCGGTTTGGTTTGTCTGTTGTTTTTATTTTTTTTTGTTTGTGTTTGCTTGATTATAAAGCAATTTGCTTGTGTTTCGCATATAGTAAAAGTGTTTATCATTATAGATAAATGATATAAATTTTTGTTAAATGTTTGTGTATATTTATATCATAAATTATAGAATGATTTTTTGATATTTTAATAATTATGTGTTTGTAACTGTTTTTAATATATATATAGTAAACAGTGGACTGTGATAGGATTTCGTGAAGCTAAGCTATGACATATTTGTTTCATAAAAAGAAGAGTTAATACGTTTCAATAAAATGTTAAAAATGAAAATCGTTTTAATTTTATTATTTCAAATGAGATTAATTTGTTGTGGAAAGCATCAAATGTCGTTTGTTCATTTTTTTTAATCTTAGGAAGGGTCATATGGGTCGTTATGAAAATGAAAAGAATGAAAGCATTTAATTTAGTTTAGTTAAGTCAATGTTTCCTGTTCCCATCTGGATTAAAATATGCATTGAAATAAACATGTTAGTCATGCAAAATTTTAAATTAGTATTCCATATTGACGAAAACGTCTACTTACAAGTTTTCTCTCAGCAGCCTTGTCATTTCTTTCTCTTGAATGACTTGTGCGTTTAGATCAATTTAAAACATTTTTTTGTTTATTTTGCCTTCATAATGTCAGAAGTATTGACGTAAAACGTTTAGTTTATTTTCAATAGCGATACTTGTTTGCATCTAGACAGTCAAGCAAGTAAGTAAGACATTAATGTTCACATTTTTAAGGACCACTTACTTCTTGCATGATCCCTCGCAAACACCAATCTGTGCATCATCGACAACACGTTCTATTTTTCGTCATCATAAGTGGATACGGAATGTGTGTATAAGACGATGCAATTAGTTGGGTTTTTTATTTTTTATTTATAAATTTCTGTTATCATCTAACAGGAAAAGTATGCATGTTTATTTGTCAACGATTAATTCTACACTAAAGATTGTCCCTAAAATGTAAAAAAGATACCTGCCATTGGTAACATCAATATAATTATGGACATCAGCAAATCGAACTATAAGCAAATTAAATATTAAAGCAAGGAATTTCGTTACAATTTTACTTTACAAAATACAAACATATATTTGTTGGACAACAAACTATAAGACGAGTGGAATAAGTGGGAAATTTTCGACAAAAACACAATTTAGTGCTCGCCAATTTTTTTAAGCCAATCACCGACGAGGATTTTTCAAATTTTTAGGTTTCAAATCTTAATAGAACAGATTTTATATAAACTGTACGTTTTATATTATAAAACGCAAGTGGGCGGAGCTAAGTTTCGAAGAGCGCTAAAGTGAAATATACGCATGTGCAGAGATCTTGAGGTTTACTCCTACTAATCAATATTTATGCATCATGTTTTTTTCCGTACACGCACATGTATATCGTCACTACGGCATAGAATTAAAAAAAGAGGTTCATTGAAATGAAAACAGGCAAAATGATAATAAAAATGTTTTATTACTTACGGAACCAGTATCATTTTATAATTTCCAAATAAAAAGTTCACTTATTCTAACAAAGTATGTATGTATTATTTCTTACTTTTTATGTAAATATTACAGCCCGTGCCGCTGCAAAACCGAAAGTATGGTGTATTTATTAATTTTACAAAAATATGTCGAGGTGACAGGCGAGGCAAGACATGTCGACTTTTTGTAGCTCATTGTGAAGTTGCATTACATGAAAATCGGGCACATGACAAATCAGCACATAAATAAAACATTCTAGTGTTCCGTGGTATACATTTTTTCTACGTGTCATACCTCCTTTCCTTATTACAATGAATTTTACTGCATTGTTATCCATCGCTGGTTTGTTTTTAGCAGAGAATGGCCTGTGTATGTTCAAAGAGGGTACCGTGCAAAGAGGGTACCGATATGGATAATACACCGTGATATTGTCTGATTTACCTAGACAGAATGCGGGAATAAGCTATGCAAAACACGTGACCCGAAAATGTGTACCGCTACCTCTTCCAAATATGGTTATACACATTTAGGCTATCGTGTGACGTCACGCAGTGTGTTGGGCGGAAAAAAAAATGGGCGGAGCACTAAGCCGGTTAGAGTGCATATTGGATGTTCTTCGTAAATAAGAAAGCTACAGTCGCTTCGCAAGCTCCGCTCCTTTTTAGCTTTCTTATTTACGAAGAACACCCAATATGCACTCTAACCTATACTTGATCTTGATATTCCATTTAATCAATATACATGTTTAAAAGTCTAAAACCTTGCATTTTTAATATACAACAAAATCAACAATTGCTTGCTTTAACTCTTAATATACGCAAGATGTTTAATGAATAATTGGTCCGCTTTTATTTTAGAAAAAGCCAATTCAATGTTTTAAGGATTTCAATGTGTATTTATCTTAATTAACAATACAGAGTCTGGTCGGACTTCATGGATGTACAGGCTTGTCAATGATAAAAAATTGAGGCAGCAGCTGTTTACCTGGTTCTAGCATGTAAAAGATTTTAGTAAACATAAATGAATAATTCGGTTTCCTGTATTGCTTATCTGTTGCTTACTTAATATCAGGTCATCCATCTAACTGTTTATTATGAACTTAAGAATAACCTTAATATTACAAACGAAATCACCATTTTATGTTCACAAGTCCTTGTTAGTATAGTAAATGTTAGGAGACACTCACAATTAAACTTAATCTAATAAATAGCGCTACATTTACATTTTTCACAATGAATAATTGAGTTTTGAAGATCATGTGTTAAATCGACATATAGACGAACTTATCATTGTATATAATGAACTGCTTTAGAATTGTTTAAAACTACTCCATTACTAAAGTTTGTTTCAAAGAAAAAATCATGAGGGTAATTGCAAACCATTCGTAAATAGCGTAACATGTCAAGCAAAAATACCATCTCGTCGCAGAACTGTTTGCTGAAAAATATGTATCAACACATATTTGTTCTAATTCTGCCTGACGATCATTCGACTGCCGAGAAGCATCACCTGTTGCATCAGAAACATTTCGAAGTCCTAAATTCAAGATTTCCTTTCTTGACAACATTATAGAAGGACAGTATAACAGTATTGACGCATCTATAGTTTCTTCTTTTGAGAGGCAAAATGATTGCAAACTGTCAGACAGCAAAGTGTAGCCTGTAGTGACATGAGTTTTGTCATATAAAAGGATCAATGCAATGCGAACATTTTGATTTCTATATCTGAATTGCAGAACGATTTCCTTTTTGACAGCTATGTTTCGCAACCTGTCTAATAAAACATCATATCGGCATCCCTCTTTTGAAAACATTACGTACCGGAAAAAGATGTGTGACGTTGAATTTTTTTTGGAATATAATCCAGCACTGCATTTTCCACAAATAATGTCAGTTCCAATTTCGCGAATTAAACGATATTCAAGATATTGTAACAAAAGTGAATTGGCAGTGATTCTTCCATCCTTTATTAGGACTTGAAAATGGATAGCACATGTGTATCCATAAATGTTAGTAAATAAAGATATGCATCTTCCGTAAACTGGTACATGTCCATGTGGGCAGAAAACTTGTCTGCACATTCCCTGAAAAAAATATTAAAGTGATATTTATACATGTATATGTGTCCAATATACGATCATTTAAAAATAAATTACTGTTTTAAATCGATAGAAAATAATTAAATAATAAAGCTTTTTACCCTTATACACTGAATAAGTTTTCGTTTTTAATACATTTTAGAAGAAAATAAATAGCTACAGAAATGAAAAATCTCTTCATCGTCATCTTGAAATTCAGAGTCATTAACAAATTTTATTACCATCTAGCAAAGACTACAAGACTATATTTTTTTACATTTTTGGATAACGATTGCTGTCATTGAAGGTTCTTACCTGAGAAGGATCCCATATCTGTGAGGATTCGCATACACTCTCTTTCACCGTCACGTCATTTTCTTCCCAATTTTGTAAATCGATAATACCATATTCATTTATAAACGCAGATTTAATATCGTCATGCTTTTCTGGATTATCACATGTATCAATATTTTTCGTACTTACAGCCACGTTACATAGATAGCAATAAACATTCGCAAAATATTTGTAGCCTCTCATTATTGAGTAAAGGCCTTTGAATATCAAATTCTGGTCCAATCCTTTTGTCAAACACCTTTGCTCAATTTCGTTGTCGTATAATATCCAGTTTCCGGTCATATTACAACCTGATATTAAATGTGATTTTGGAATACAGTGTGACAAAGCGAGACGTGTGTCTGGTTTTGATGACATTATGGTACATTTTTCAGCGATATAATGTTTTGCCGCTTGGACACTTGTTCGGTTTGCCAGTGAAATCAATGATGATCCTACACAGTTTACACGTAATTTCAACTGTTCATAGCTCAATATGTTGTTACACTCAGCACAATGCTTATTTTTGTATACTTTACCTCTCCTTGGGTCAGTAACAATCGCATAGTCCTGAAGCTCTTCTGGCTGGTAGCATCTTTGGTAAGACAAAGCTACTGTTTTGTTAGGACAATCATCAATGACGTGATACCAAAAGTCAATAATATCTCTGTCAATATCAATAGGGTTGACATTTTTTCCAAATGACAGTAAATGTTTGCACGGATACTTTGGGTCAGCAAGCCCAGACATTGGCACATCGGGACAACAACTTCCAGTTTCAAAGCAATCGCTCCCACACGAACACTCTTCACAACAAGACTTTTGATCCGAATGTTGAAATTCCTGTTTTTGTAGTACAAGAAAGGAAATTACACACATAATTCAATATGTTTCAAATACTTTAAGGTAATATTATTCATCTTAAAACTCATTTAAGATAGTTTAGTTTCTAAATTCTTATATATCAAATGTCAATCAATGGTGTGTTTTGATATATGATAACAGGTCTATGTTTTTAATAATTGGATAAATTGTGCAGGTTTTAAAAATGTGAAAAAAATCTCATATAGAAATGCAATGATTATTATATTGTTTCAGAAGCATGCATTAAAAGTAAATAAAAATATATTACGTACCTTCAAAGGACTTGATTGACAAAATTTATTATAGGGACAAAGATGTCTTAAACTAAGAGTCACGTTAGCCGTATCATTCCATAAAGATGTCATTATTTTGCCTCCACTTCCTTTGCCGAGACAGAACAGTGCTAACGCAAGGTAAAGCATGTTAAACTTCCATGCTTATTTTCACTTAATATTAACCTAAACTAAAACTTGTTTTATGTAAAGCATAGATGTTCTCTTGATTTATTCTTACGAAAATGTTAAGC